CCCCCAAAACCCTAAACCCCTAAACCTACTAAACCCTACTAAACCCTAAAACCCTAAAACCCTAAAACCCTAAAACCCTAAACGCCCTAAACCCCTAAACCCCTAAACTTCCTAAACCCTACTAAACCCCAAAACACCCTAAAACCCTAAAACCCTTATAGACCCCTCTAAAGGAACCCTTAAAGGAACCCTTTAAAGGAACCCCAAAACCCCTAAACGCCCCAAAACCCCCTAAACCCTAAAACCCCTAAACCCTAAATACTAAACCCTAAACCCCTAAAACCCTAAAACCCTACTAACCCCTAAACCCCAAAATACCCTAAACCGTCCTCCACCAGACGCCGCCTCTCGGAGGCCTCGGCCAGGGCCTCGGAGAGGCGCAGCGCGCGCCGCAGCTGCGCCTCCTCCGACTCCGGAGCCGCTGGGCCTTGGGGGGGTTTAGGGTTTAGGGTTTAGGGTTTAGGGTTTAGGGAGGTTTTTAGGGGTTTTTTGAAGGGGTTGTAGGGTGTTTTAGAAGGGGATTTTTAAGGGGGTTTAGGGGGTTGGCTTTAGGGGTTTAGGGGTTTAGGGTTTGTGGGTTTAGGGGCTTTAGGGGCTTTAGGTGTTTAGGGGTTTTAGGGCTTAGGGGTTTTAGGGTGAGGGCTCTTGGGGTTTAGGGATTAGGGCGTTTGGGCCTTGGCCTTGGCCTGGGGGGGCCTGGGAGCCCCCCACCCAGCTGTTGAAGGCACGTTCCAGAACCGCAGGCGGCTTTCGTTCGGCCTCCACCTCTTAGGGTTTAGGGTTTAGGGCTTTAGGGCTTTAGGGGTTTAGGGTTTAGGGTTGAGGGTTTAGGGTTTTAGGGTTTAGGGTTTAGGGTTTAGGGCTTAGGCTTAAGGGTTTCGGGTTTAGGGTTTAGGGTTTGGGGTTTAGGGCCTCCAAAGTGTTGAACTCTTGGTAGTCCTTGCTGAAAGCCTCCCCGATTCCCAGCTCTGCTTCACTCCAAGACTTCCGAGCTCGCATCAGCTCCTGCGGGAGCATGCCAGCCAGAATTGACTCTCCGTCGACTTCATCTACCTTTACTCCGTTCGAGTGTTTGTACCTACACGCTCAGACTTTTGTGCGTGCTTCCTTCTCCCCCCTGCCAAAGATCAATTCATGGGTTTTCTCTTTCTCTCTATCTCTCTATCTCTCTCCCGCTCTCTCTCCCTCTCTCGCTCTCTCTCTCGCTCTCTCTCTCTCTCTCCCTCCCCGTCTCTCTCTCTCTCTCTCTCTCTCGTCTCTTTCTTACTCTCAGACTTGCAAGCTCTCTCTCTCTCTCTTTCTTTCTCTCTTCCTCTCCCCCCGTCTCTCCATCTACCGCTCTCTCGCGTCCACCCAAGGACAGGTCGTAGTATAATTATAATAAGGAACCCCCAAAATAATATAAGTAATGATGGAGGCCCCTAAATTGGAGTCTTTGAGGTTGAGATTTTGACACCTACACGTTCAAGCTCACGGGATTCGAGCATCGAGGTTAAGGTCTGACCGAAAAAAAAGCATGGTACTTAGATATTATGATACCCTAAACCCTAAACCCTAAACCCCAAACCCTAAACCCCAAACCCCAAACCCTAAACCCTAAACCCTATGGAAACTTGGGAGTCTGGAGCTTTGATCCTCCTCGAAGAGGGAGGACTCGCACATTTGCGTCAGGCGCCCGGCGCAGGCGTGCAGCCACCGAAGGGTTCCCTCACCTCGGAAGAGCGCCGCGCAGCGGTGGACGAAGGCTTCCGAGACCAAGCTGTGTAGTCTGGAATGCTGCTGGTGGACCTTGTGCGTGTGAGGAGCGAGTGGGCTCTTGTCCAGCAGCTGCTGCCAGGAGGTGCTGTAAGGTGAGCCCGCTGGAGCTGTGACCAGGGAAACGCTCAGTTCCTGAAGGATTGGGCGCAGCGTTCGGGGAAACAGCAGCATAGCACGCATCAAGGCTACGTGCGATCTCGAAGGACCGTCTTCTTGAAACTCCTGGCGCGCCCAGCAAGATTGCGTAATGTCCTCCACAGAGACCGTGCTGATGGCGCTTCCTTCATCAGTATTCTTCGTGGCCTGCCGTCCCCCTGACTTAAGGAAGTGCAGGGCCAAGGCAGTCGAGTAGGCGAAGTTGGGCATTGCACAGTCCAAACGGAGGATGGTCTTGTCTGGAAGTGAGCATGGCAGGTCGAAACCTTCCGCAATGTTAACTAGCAGGGAATACTCTTGGGCGCGCAAGCAGAAAAAGTCCAGGTGCACCTCACCGGCAGTCAGTCCTAGAAACGCAAGCACTCTTCCAAAGCATGATCAAAGACGTGCGGTATATGCATAGTTGTCTAAACTAGGGTCCCTTTCCTTCTTATAAGGGTGCCGTACTATATTGGGGATCCAAAAAGGGACCCTAAATTTAGAGAACTACCCATATGACAGCTAAGCTCCCCTAAACCCTAAACCCTATGACAGCTAAGCTCACCAGCGCATGCAAGGGATCGCGAGGGAGGGTCATGGCCAGTACCAGCTTGCAGACTTCCTGGGCTCTTGTTAAGGGATTTAGTTTAAGTTACCATAATAAGGAAACCACATTAGTTAGTATAGATCCCTAGTATGGTAACTTAAATATTTAGTATAGATCCCTCATTATGGTAACTTAAATTAAATCCCTTAGCAAGAGCCCAGCTTCAAGGGCGGTGCGGGGCAGCCCTTGAGTCGCCAAGCCAAGCATGTAGGCCCAGAGAACCGTCAGCCAGGGCCAGCCGGGCCAACTTTCCTCCTCTGGGTCGGGGGCTGAGGCCCTGTGGGACCTTGTTATAGCAACCCTTGTGGAACCCTTATAGCTTACAAAATAGCAGCCATAAAAATATATAATGATCCCCTACTTTGTAGAAACTCTAAACCCTAAACCCTAAACCTCTAACCCTTCATCGCCAGCCCATTGGCTAAAGGAATGGCCTCTTGGAGCTGCAGGCGAACCCTGGGCCAGAGCATGGAGCTCGCAGCGTCGCCGCGCTTGAAGTCTAGCCTTACTATGGCATAAGGTTCGGGGTTTTGGGTTTAGGGTTCAAGGTTTGGGGTGTAGGGTTTAGAAGTTTTGGGTTTAGGATTTAGGGTTTGGGGTTAAGGATTCAGGAGTGGAAGAGGGGATGTGAGGACTGCTACAAGGGAGCTTAAAAGAGGACTAGCGTAGGCATCCCACCCCGGCCCCAAGAAGCAACCTCGTCTCTGCGAATGGCGAGAACGATCCGTGAAAGCTGCACTCCATGGCATAGGCAGCCCGGCGAAGCAGCTGAAAGGCATCTTGATGTTGCCCGGACTGTCGACAGATGTCAGACAGGACAAAGAGCGCCTCGACGCAGAAAGGGTGATCCATAAGGAAGGCATTCACCTCGTTCGGATCATGCAACATCGCAGCTCCCGCAAATTCGGTCCGTGCCATCTCATACTCCCGAGTATCTCTCACTGCGAAGAGCACTTCCCCAGCTTCCGGTACCATTTCCGCACACCCCTCCGGTCGTCCCCAGTTCTCCTCCGAGGAAGGCTCGACGAGAAACAGGCGCCGGTAGTGTGCAAAATGCCCCTCGTGGACTCCTGGGTTGTAGCTCGAGTTTATATGTTATACTATAGGTCATATCATAGATACCTTTGTATATTATACTATAGGTTATATCATAGATCACTTTGTATATTGTACTATACATCGTACAAGGGCCCCTCCCAAAATATTTAATGAACAGCTGCGAACCTTAAAAGGCACACAGAGAGGAAGTGAAAAAAAGTATCCCAAAGTTCCCTCTTGGACTCCCCGGTGCTTCACCGCCGATTTCCGGATTTCGGCCTTTGGGGCTTTGCCTTTTGGCATCTTCATCTTCCCGAAGAGGCTCTTTTGCTCCCGGTCTGCACTGAAGAAAGCCTTGGACATGGAGAAGACAGAGGACCTCGGCAGCAGCTGAGAGTTTAGGGGGGCTTTTAGGTCTAGGACTTGGGTTTTTTGATATCGGCTTTGGGATTTCGGGCTTCGAGCTCCGCCAGATCAATGAAGCGTTGATCTCGATGCTTCGAAGGAACCACACACCCCTACATCCTGAACCGTGAGCCATGCGCCCCCGAAGCCCTAAGCCCTGCCATGGAACCCTACACCTCAAACACGCCGAAGGTACCCGCAAAGATCTTGCTCCCCCGGCGCGGACGAAGTGGCAACCTCTGCCACTGCCGCATCGAGGAGCCTTATCTTGTTTTTGTGCCATATAGGGGTATCATAGGGCAGCAGCCGGAGCGACAATGGCAAACATTGAAGAAACAATCGAAAACGGAAAGAGGGTTTAGGGCCTTTAGTGTTTAGTACCACCTGACCACCGTTGCCAACACAACACCACAACCATCGCGCACACAGCGGCCGCCACCACCACCAGCACCGCCACCACTGGCAACGACTGCCACAGTACTGCCACCGCGAAGCGGAAAACGATTGTAAACAATACGACCAAACAAACAACAATGATCGGGAATGATAATTAATGAAGATCACAGAGCACAGAGGTTAGGACGGCCATGCTGCCTCTAAAGCCAATGATCACGTTACCTGAACCCTTGAGATCCCTTGAGGTTGCTCCAGAATTTTGAAACCACCCAGAATCAACCGAGAAGCTGGTCGTCTTCATCCAAGTCAGGACTGTCTGGATATCCTGCGCACTTGGCGTCCTGCTTCTTGCCCTTCTTCCTCAGGTCTCAGTGGACGGTGCTGAGATCTTACAAAACAAAGCATCTTTAGGCTTTACTCGTTGATGTTCCTGGGAAGTCCTTGCGATTCAAGCATAGCCCGTCGACGAAGGACGTCTCGCACTCTGGCCCTTGGCCCGTGACGATGTTTGAGATTGCGAGGGCGAGCGACGACGAGCGACGACGAAGAAGAAGGAAAAGAAGAAACCGAAGACGCGGACGATGCCGGCAACGACGCCGACGAGGTCGACAAGACGGCCGCGGTAACGGTGATGCGACGAACATCGACGAACACCAAGTGTGCGAACATTGTGACCACAACCCTGTCGGATTCTTCTGACGACCCTGGCAACTGACTACGAGGACAACGAGCAGAAGCAAGCTACCACAATCCGAAGAAGTATCCACCGGCACAGCAGCAGCAGTAGCCGCAAGCAGTGGCTGCAAGCAGCACCAGCAGCAGCCACCACCACCAGCACCACCATGTGGCATACCACGGCAACTTCTGTCACCACCCCCACCTCCACCACCTCCAGGAACTTGCTGTGATTCCATGCACCCTCCACAACACAAGCTTGCACCCTCCGAAACCTTAAGTCGTCCCCTCTGGCTACCACTACAGTAGCCCTAAATAGGAGGCATTTTGGCCTCATCCTTAGCATGGTCGTGGCCCCAAACCCCTAAACCCCTAAACCCCTAAACCCTAAACCCCTAAACCCCCCAGAAAATAACCCATGAGGAGCTTAGCGTCTTCTTCTTCTTCCCCTTGGCCCTCAAGGGCTCCGCCGCTGGCGCCGGCTCCGCCGTCTCTGCGAGCTCGGACCCCGACGAGTCTGCCAGCGCTGAGAAGCCACAGGGAGCCTGCCAGAAAAAAGGGTGTCCAGGATTCAATAAAGGAGCCGAAGTAATTACCAGTATCATATTGGGGGTTTCTTATTATAAATATGGTATGATATAGGCCCCAAAACCCTATTCCAATTATGAAGGCCCCTATATTAGGGTTTTGGGGGTCAAAGGTCGAAAGCTTGGGTTTAGGGTTTTCCCAACACCTCCCTGAAGGGCTGTGTCTTCCAAACCGTAGAACAGGCGAGTCTTGGCGGAAACGGCCACGGTTTCCAGCGCTGCACCCCAAATCCTAAACCCTAAACCCCTAAACCCTAAACCCTAAACCCTAAACCCCTAAATCCCTAAACCGTCTTTCCGCAGCCCTTCTAGGTTTCCAACCTTGGACCTAGACAGACCTGCAGTTGAAGATTCCAGGATAGGGTTGGGGTGCTTTAAGGCTGTATTCAGGTTTAGGGTTTAGGCTTTAGGGTGTATAACGATTCTCCACTAGATGAGTTTCCGACAACTCGCGGCCATATTCAAAAACTTAAGCAGCACCTTCCTCAGTACAAAGACACATGAATTTGCGTTGAACCCCCTCAAAACAAGTACCCTAACCCTGAAAACCACAACAACGATAAACCCTCCGTCGCGAAGCCAGGCTGCCTTCGTCTGAGGCTCGTCATCGCTGACGTCCTCAGGGGCCTCCACGACTGCGTCGTTTTGCAGCTTGCGCAGCTGCTTCATTGCAACGGGCTCTAATGGCTAACGGGTAGCACTAGAACATCAACCTTACACCCTGCACCCTAGTTCCTGCACTCTAAACCACAAACTTCAACTGACCTCCCTCAGCAGCTAGTTCTGACTTCGCATGTAGGTTGTCGCAAGCACTCCCACTGTTCAGCAGTGGTCAACTGCATCTGTAGCCTGTCGTCTCTGGCTCGGGATTTCTGGGTGTGGACACTTGGGCTGGAGCCAAAAGCACTGCAGACTTAAATGAACAATCACCGGGCTCGTAATGAATTTTGTACTGGCTTTAAGGAGCTCTGTTGGCGCTCGTGCTGAGAAAAAGACTGGAAACCTGAGAGCAAGTCTACCACGACACCTTGCGACCCCAGAGCCCCCAGAACAAGCCGACAGAACCCGACGCCCAGAGCGACCGTGTCCGAAGCAACCCGAGACAGCTTAGGATTTTCAGGGTTCGGTGCGGAGGTCTTGGGGTGTGGGGCGTTTGTAGGGTCCCGAGGAGCCCGGCCCCATGACGTCTTGTGCGAAGCGCTTGAAACAGGCCGCGGAAGAGAGCTTTCGATGCATAGAGATGAAGGACGGTTTGAAGCTTAGCGGCTTCAGGTTGAGGGCCAAGGAGTCTTTTGGAGAATGACAGCGAAACAGACAACAGAAACAGGTACAGCTTGATGTCGGTGTCGATATCCCAAGCCCCAAGGCCTAAACCCTAAACCCGAAACCTCCACATCCTAAACCCTAAACCCGAAACCCTAAACCCTAAGCCTTTCAGATTCAAGCTGTAGGGCCTCGTAGACCTCACGGAAAGGCTGTGAAAGAAGGAAGCGCGTTTGGCCAGGATGAAGGCTCCATGACATAGTGTTGATTTAGGGCTTAGGGCGTTTAGGGGTTTTAGGGGTTTAGGGATTTAGGAGTTTAGGGGTTTAGGGGTTTTGGGGTTTAGGGGCTTAGGGGTCTAGCTAGGGGTTTATGGGTTTAGGGGTTTAGGGTTAAGGGTTAAGTTAAGACCCCTAAACCGTAAAAAAATAACCCTAAGCCCTAAGCGGCAAGCCCTACACTCCATGGACGGCGCTGCAGTCCTCTACCAGCATGTCTTGCTCATCCTCGCCAGGTCTCTTCTACAGGGGCCTTGATAATCAGACAAGGGCCTTGGGGGGGGGGGAAAATTTGGGGGGGCTTTTACTTTCATAAAAATCTTTGGGCTGTTTGGGGGCTCTAAGGCATATCTTGTTGCGACTAAAATATACTTTGGGGACGTTGAGGGATATTATCTTGTTGCGAATAAAAGTACTTTGGGGACGTTGAGGGATACCTTGTTGCGACTAAAAATCCTTTGGGGACGTTAAGGGATATTATCTTGTTGCGAATAACAACAGAAAGGGGTGAGAATTTAGAGCTGGGACCGACTCGTTGAGGCTCCAGGGCTTCGGGGCTAGATGCATCTGCAGGCTAGACTTACGGGTTTCGGGTTTAGGGGTTTAGGGGTTAAGGGTTTAGGGTTTAGGGTTTAGGGTTTAGGGTTTAGGGTTTAGGGTCTTCGGTTTCGAAGAACACCTTCGCAGAAGGCACGGGAACCGTCCAACTCCTACCTGCAGATTCCACGCCCTCAGGGATGCTGTGGAGACAGACAGCCTCGCACTTACAAAGAATGTTTACGGCTTAGGATGGCTTAGGATTTAGGTCCGTTGTCATCGCTCTTGTGATGGCCTAAGGCCGCAACTCACATGCAGTAGGACTTTCGTTGCCGGGCCTCTTCGACGTCCTGCTTCTCGTCCTCATTATCTTCATCCTGCTCCAACAGAGTCGAGCTGTGCCGCTGAGCGCTTCGCAGTAGCCCCCAAACCTACTCTAACCCCGCACATGCAAGATGGATATGAAGCGTCTCTCAAACGTGATGAATTCTGAGCTCCATTCAATCGCTCGGTGCAAGTAGAGCTTTGCCAAATTCGTCCCTAAACCCTAAACCCCTAA